GATGTGGGAGTTAAAAGTGAGGTTAGAGTCAATCCTAACTCCAAGGTTTGTGACGGTGGTAGAAAAGGGAATGTTAAGACCAAATATTGAAATACTACTGAGATTAGAGGACTGAGTTTGATGAGGGGTGCCAAGAAGAATTACATCCGTTTTATTACTGTTAAGTCGAAGAGAGTTGGCAGTCATCCATGCCTTTATCTCCTCTAAGCAAAGCTGAAGTGAAGACGGAAGAACTGTAGGAGAAGTGGAGTCCATTTTCATATACAATTGTGTATCATCAGCATAGCAGTGAAAAGAGACTTTGTATTTATTGATTATATGACCAAGGGGGAGCATATAGATGGTGAAAAGGGTTGGCCCGAGGACTGAACCTTGTGGAACTCCACAAGTCACAGTATGAGTTGAAGATTTAGACTGACCGAAGGAAACATATTCAGTTCTATTGGTAAGATATGAATGAAACCATTTAAGTGCTTGTAACAATAAACACAGATTCAACAGGTTCATGATGAGCATGAAGATGCCTCCTCTACCTGGTCTAGTTCTGTCTCATATATGGGAACAACTTTTTACCACGTTAATCAAACCACATCCTGTTGGTCTACAGCTGACACAAAAGAGCAGAGGAGTTCAGTTTTACGCCGTACCCAAAGCCAGCATAGAGCGGTTCAGTGAATGTGGTGCTGAAGCTGTGCAGGTGGGTCACTACGTCACCGGAGACTCTGCAGAAGGACAGGATGCCAGCAGGACAGTCCACATAGACTCCTACACGGTGAGAGGGGGCAGGCGAGGAAGGAAGAGGAATGGGTGTCCCGCTGTTGTTGTGCCAAGCGCTGTATCCTCCATCAGTGCAGGCAAGACACCAAGACTGGTCGTTCCCTCCAAACTTGGAACCATCGCTGTCACCGTTCCTTCCAATCCCTCTGTAGCTCACGGCTACATAAACCTTCCCAACCCATTCAACCTCCCAGTAGCAGCGACCAGTCAAATCAGTTTCACACAGCACCTGGGGCCAGTAGTCAAATCTTTCTGGGTGATCTGGGTGTGGGTGTTCCTTCCGCAGGTCGGTCACCTTCCTGTTGTTCTCAGACAGTTTGAGGAACTTGTGAGCCGTGTTTGGGTCCAGAGTGAGCTCACAGAAGTCTGAAGAGAGATATTTATTTTTACATACTTATTAAAACTATTTGATTGGAGCAAAATGTGTAAAAGGTTGGAGGATTATGCATCATTTTGCAAAGTACTTTAAATCAGTAACCTTCTAAGTTACAGCGAACACCTGATAAATGTGAATAAAAATCACGCTCTCTTACATTTTCTGAAGTTTGGCTTCAACCACTGGACAGAACCAGGTTCAGCTCTGTAAGGCATGAAGGAAAGACAGGGAGAAGACAGTTTTCATTGTGCATACTGTGCAACAGAACCATCAATAATGCTATATTTTCATTATCTGATATAATTAATTACTCAGGTACTGCATAGTTTCTTCAGGATATAGTAAAGGACAACTAAATCTTGCTCAAATGTAGTCCGAGGACAACATTCCTCTGGGACTTCTGTCCTGTTTATTTCAGGTGTGTTTCTGCTTGAAAACATCTGATTTAATATGATTATAAGCTGAATATATTTTTTTTTATTCAGTTGCGTTGGAGCCGAGATGAACTTAAAACATCCACACCATTGAGGACCAGATTGTAGACCTCTGATGCTGCCTGTAATTAATTTAACCAGGATGATGAGTCCGAACCTGATGGTGTCCAGTCTGCAGTCGGGCCTCTTTTGACTGACAGAGAGCAGCTTCAGTCCCGACTCTCCTGGATGGTTGTAGCTCAGGTCCAGCTCTCTGAGGTGGGACGGGTTGGAGATCAGAGCCGAAGCCAGAGAGGAGCAGCCTTCCTCTGAGACCAGACAGCCTGAGAGACTGAAGATGCAACAAATGAAACCTGTTACATTCAGGTAATCAGATCTGGAAGTGTACACCCAAATGTTCAGCTTCTGTATATTCATCTGATGAATTATTCACTGGGTCCAACAGCTGATTATCGACACACACTGAGATCCCCGTCTTTGTTTGAACTTATCAATCAGTCACTGTCTTCTGTTTATTCCAGGTGAAGTAACTACTTCACAGGATCTGTGAAGTAGTTTAGGAAGGGAAAACAATCACCCAATCCTCAATGACATTCAAGATGATTCTAGGCAATTTCAAAGCATTCCCAGGTCATGCAGTGTTTTGCAAAAAAAAATTTAAAAAAAATTGGAAAAAAATTACGATTCCTAAGTACAAAAAGGTCCTTTAGGGGGAAAAGAAAGTCGTCGAGGAATCAGATTGTTACAATAGTAACACGGATTTGTAGGACTATGAGTTTAGGAACATGATCTCTTTCAATTTATTTCAAACTTAATGAATGCACAGGATCTGTGATCAGTAAATATTATTTTACTAAAACCGAATCTATTACAAAGTGATTTCAAATCATGTATAGATATGTATATCAGTCTTGGTACAATGTACAAGACTGTGTAAATACATTAACTTTGGCAAACTGTGTTACTTACTGTACAAAAGATTTTAAGTGAGAACTTTGACAGTCTAATGTTTAAAGTTGAATAACAACAGAGACTGTGATCTGACCTGAGAGTTTCCAGTTTGCAACATGGACTCTCCAGTCCATGGCACAGTTGCTTTATCCCAGAATCCTCCAAGTCGTTGTTGCTCAGGTCCAGCTCTCTCAAACTAGATGACTGGGAACTGAGAACTGAGGAAAGAGCTTCGCAGCTTCTTGCTGACAGGTTACAGCCACTCAACCTGAAAACCAATATGCCAAGTTTACAATAAAACATTATATCACCAATACAGCCATATTCCTGTGAAGGTGTTTAGACAAGATGGAGATAGAAAACTATTCTCAGAACTGCACTCAAACCGTCTCAATAAAGAATTGGGCTCATTTCAGACAAAGTAACAAATTAAACAAATACATGTATTGCTCTAATTATTTGTACTCATATTGCAGATTCCTTATGAAGTTGTTTATAAGAATTTATGTAATTTATGTAATCAAATCAAGTATACTCACACAGCTTTCTTAGCAGCTTTGACTACTGGCAGCAGTCTGAGAAGAGCCTCTTCTGAAGCAGAGTATTTCTTCAGGTCAAACTCATCCAGATCTTTTCCAGATGACAGTAAGATGAAGACCAGAGCTGACCACTGAGCAGGAGACAGTTTATCTGTGGAGAGACTTCCTGATTTGAGGTACTTTCTGATCTCCTCTTGTAAGGAACAATCCTTCAGTTCATTCAGACAGTAGAGCAGGTTGATGCTTTTATCTACAGACACATTGTCACTGATCTTTTGCTTTATGTACTGAACTGTTTCCTGGTTTTTCTGTAAGCTTCTTGCCTTCTGTGTCAGCAGACCTTGTAGGAGTCTCTGATTGGCCTGCAGAGAAAGACCCAGGAGGAAGCGGAGGAACAAGTCCAGATGTCCATTTGGACTCTCTACTGCTTTGTCCACAGCACTCTGATGAAAATTAGCCAGTGCTGATTCTTTATCTTCTGTCAAAGATTCCTCAAGCAGATTCACTCCAGAGTTGATGAAGGTCAGATGAACATGAAGAG